TGAAGGACCACCGGAGCGCCGGCACATGTAGACATGGTTGTCTTTTACAGTTTAGCAAATAGGAATGTGCTGAATCAACGAATAGCTGCTTATTGCTGCAACACAGAGAAGTAAGAATTTGTACTTTCCCCAAGAATCCAGCTCAGCTCCCGCTCATCGACTGATGAAGGCAGTCTAAGAGGGCACATCGGCTCGGATGTGCTGCTTTAGCCCGAGGAGGGCAGAGTAGAGAGGCGCCAAAAAAGGCAGGCGACATGACGGAAAAATAAAAACCTCTCACAGCCACGCGGAGGGAATGGAGAATATTGTTTTCTGTTCAGTTTTTCCTGGAAATGGATGCCTAAATCGACCCACAGTTGATAGGTCTGCTTGTCCWGTTTGTTTTTTTGTTGAAAACATAAACTAATAAATTATTAGGAGCTGGGAAAACGTTAGAAAAATTTATTTATTTTTTCCTGCAATCATTAAGGAGCTGTCCACACAAAACATTTTTTGTGATTTTGTAGATTTTTTTTCTTAAACTCTCATCTGAACAGGAACAGTGCTTTAAGAGTCCCAAAATTATTATTTTTTTATTCTATAATACAATAATAATGGGGTGTAGCAGCTGATTGTGATATAAAACATTTAAGAACGAAAATTCCACATATCTTTCTACTCGCTTTTCATTTTCTGTCCCTCTCTCGTTATAAGCAAAAGAAAAACACACCTGTATTTTTTAAGTGGCTCTCAGCAGCTGTCCTCTTAGAGTGCGTCACTAACAGGTCCGATGTTTCTGCTTGCGTTTAAAGGATTCTAATCGAGTGTGCGTGTCCTTTGCCTGTGAGTTTCATGTCTTAACATTAAGGCCAGAGTTCAATCATTTCATCTTTCGGTGACTCTCAGGCCTGACAGAGATTAGAAAAGAAAACGGCAGGATTAAGTGAAGAGATGTTTCTTTGCCTAATCTTCCTCAAGAACATGGAAGGATAAGCTCAGTGTTTTCAGTGAAACAAAGAAGAATGAAAGATTGAAAAGAGAAATCCTTAAAAAAACAATAACTTAAAAATGAATTAAGTTGTTTGAGAAAAAAGTAAAGTTTTAATGATCACTCTTTGTGTTGTTTTTGTTGTTTTTTTCAGGTAAACAAAATGTTCTTACTTCCATCTCATTGCAAAGTGCTGTGACTGTTTTATGTTGGTCCATTATTTATTCAATATTTTTATATGACACATTTCATTCCTGTTGTTCTAACACAAGTGACGGCATAATTATGGCTTCCTTTCTTTCAGAAATTGCTTCTGTAGCCTTTTTCTTTTTGTGGTCAGTGGTCATTTATTCTGTCAAAATGACGAGAAGTCTGAAAAAAAAATAACATTTGAACAATTAAAAAAGCTTTTTTATAATTTTCTTGTTTACATTCTGTGGAAACTGTATTTAAATGTAATTGATCAAATAGCTGCAATAATGCAATGTTAAAAAGGCAGATATAATAACCAATAAATGGGTAAAAAAAAACTATAAATACACAAAAAAGACAATCAAAATTGAGGTAAAAACATAGATTTTTACATCTTTTCACTTTGGTCTGGGCCAGTCAGAAATAAAACTACAACAAGTAAGATATTGTTATTAACATGTTGAAACCAAGCGTGCTGTAAAGAATAGAAAGCTTCTGGATGTTAACGCTCCACTCTTTCTTTCTCTGTCCAAGGTGAAGGCCCTCACTTTGTTTGTGACCCATTATCCTCCTCTGTGTGAGCTGGAGCAGCTGTATCCTCAACATGTCTCCAACTACCACATGGCTTTCTTACTTAATGAGCCTGACGTCTCTGCTGACATCGATGGTACGTGAGTGCTCTTGTGCACGTATAAAAAAAGGTTAGCGATATTTTTAGTACAGGTTATTGCTTTGTAGGTGGACTTTTGTAATCTTATTGGTACATCATCACATTGGCGACGTCGAGGCTTTATTGTCTGGAACTGGTTGTGCTGACAGATGCAGACGTTCAGCCGGAGTTCATCACCTTCCTCTACCAGCTGACCGAAGGAGCTGCAGGGCGGAGCTACGGCCTCAATGTGGCCCGATTGGCCGACATCCCTGATTCCATCCTGCACGCTGCCGCACGCAGAGCACGAGAGCTGGAGCGCGTGGTCGACGCCAGGAGGTAACGAACACGTTCAGCCCGACCTTTTCTTCCAGGGGAGACTGCTTGTGTTGCACGTTAAAACCAGGAGCAGCTCTGTAAAAATGACTGGAAAAGCAGAGGAGTATAAAACACGGGTAAAATAGGTTTTGTAGCAGGAAAATTTGTGTTTTAAAATTTCTTGCATGTTGGAAAAATGTCTAGCTTTGCTTATAAAAACAAAAAACAAAACAAAAAACAGTGCCTTCATAGTTGCATGTAAACTAGCTGATAAATCGAAAAATTACAGTTACTGCTGTGAATATTTACTGTCATTTTACAGTTTTGTTTAATGTTTTAATATTTTCCTTTTTCAATCTATAACTTCACATTAAAACTTCTTAATAAATAAGCTTATCAGGAAAACTAGAATTTTTTTTAAATTCTACTAATTAGGCCAACCAAAATCTTGGATAAATTAATTTTATTAGATGCTGTGCATGATGTGTAATTTAACAAATTTGCATTTGTAAACAAAATTTATTGTTTTTAAAGAATCTAAAAGGACCCCACCCAAAATTTTATATAATATTTTGGTGCTCTGTTGCTGTCAGACCCTACATTGCCCTGGAAACATGAGCAGCTATTCTGCTGTTCTGCTAAAAGACTCCACAGTAAATTTACCTGCAGGAGCATGGGAGGTGCTGATAAGGTGAAGTCCAGAACATATTGTCAAAGATTTTCGACACATCACTGAGTGCGGATAATAACTGCACACGCTCCACCTGTAAAAACTCTTTATTGTTGATGCAGGAAAGTTTTAGAGTAGACTGAACTGCATTTCACTCAAATATTCAGCTTACAGTTGAGTCAGGAGGAGGTGGACGGACAGAAAACTGTTTGTTTTGCTGTTAAATCACATTTTTTTTTCTTAAAAAAAACTGTTCTGTCTGTTTTTAACATCTCTCTAACACAAGCTGCAAGTCAGGGCTGCTTATCTTCTTCCAAAGTAATCCTCACTATTTGAAATACACACAYACGCACACGCAAAGCACAAGCCGTACCTCTCGATCAGCGTAATCCTCCTGATATGAAATGTTTGTGCTTTGTTGGAGCAAAGTCCCGCGATGCGCTCTGAGAAGTTGAGTGGATTTGATTTGATTTTTACCCAAACCTGCTTGAGAAGACGACGTGTTTTAGCTCGGCGATCGCCAGAAACGTTTAATATTTCCATCTGTGTGCCTCCAGGAAGTATAAGAAACTTCTCTTCGATCTGTGGAGTGTTTCTGACAAAGCGTCCCTGGTGAAGTGGCTGCAGTCAAACTCCTGACGCCTCAGCCGACAGCAGCCATCATTGTCAGAAGGCACGAGGACAGAAACCCTGTCAGCAGCGAACCACAGGCTCAGAGAGGCAGCAGGATAATGATGAACATTTTACTCATTTATCAGTATGAGAGAAAGATTTAATGCATCTCAGGTTCTGGTTGTCGCCATCTGTACTGTAACCTAACTGTGAAAACAATAATGTTTTTTGTTAAATAAAGCTTTCTCCAGTTAATTAGTATTGTATTGTAACCATGTCCTCATTAAAGTAAAAATAATCAGAACAAAAAGATATTTTAAATATCGTGTGCCATAATTTCCTGTCTATTTTGTGACAATATAAATAAAGAATACTTTCAGCAGTGTTGGTCCAAGCTTTGTTTTAGTCTCCAGATGATGTTTCAGCTTTGGAAATGGTAACATTTTAAGCAAAGCTTTCATCTTTTACAATATAGCTGTGATGGAGCGCACAAAATAGAGATCAAAACGTGGTTTGATGAGTTTGCTGCAAAAGAACTTCTCTGGTCCACGAAGAGCCATGACCTTAAACCCATCCAGCACCTTTGGTGTGAACAAAAACTGTGAGTCAGACCTTTGTGTCCAACATTCATCCTGACTTCAGTTCAGTTCAGTTTATTCATTTCTTTAAAAAACAACAACATAAATTCAACATACAACAATCATAAATGAAAGGTGGCAGAAGAAGAAGAAAAATATTTTTATATCTGCCCCTTTTTCTCAAATAAATAAATTCAATCAAAAATAATCTTTAGTTTATATAGAAAAAACTCCATAAATGCTCTGCAGAATGACTGGGATCAAACTGTCATAAAAACACTCCAAAATCTTACGGAACGTAAAACTGCAGGAGGAACCGGTCCAGTTTCTGTCCTCCAGATTATTTTGAAACAAGCTGCTGCATAGTTATTTATTTCTATCAGGCTGATGGTTAATGGGTCCTTAAATTAAAGCTTTTTTAAGCAAAATTTGTGAACAGCTGATACTTGTGTTTGTTTAGCTGTGAAAATAGCCGAAGTGACAAGACAGTTCAATAAGAGTCATTTGGGGTCCAACGTCCAACAATGTCAGTGTAATTGGTAAATGCTTTGTTTGCATTGAGTGCAGACCCACATATCAATATATCAAGAAAACTACTGGAGTGCATGTTTGTAAATACTATATATAGTTAAGGAAAACCTTTTGAATGTTTGATTTTATAACTTGGGATGAGAACTTTTAAGTGTGTACTTTTTACGTACTTAAGTAGTACTTTGTTGTATTTTATGTTATTTAAAATGTACTGTTAGATCACTGTGTAGGCCTAACGTGTTTTATAGGGAAAATAAACATGATTGTTGTCCTGATGCATCTCAGTAATCCAGGTAAAAAATCAAAAAGAAAAAAATTGTATAGGTCTTCTGGACGGGTTCTTCTYTAATGAAACGTTTCATCTCTCCTCCAAGAGACTTCTTCAGTCTGAGAGTTTCAGGCAATATTCAGGCTTATAAGCCCTGCCTCCATGTGACTGATACTCACATCACATGGCTATCGTTGACACCTAATTAGCACCTATTGTTAACAGGGGGTGGAGTGATACTGGCAATAGCAGCACTGTAGGAGGGGGACAACTGAAAACGGAGGCCTCCACCTCTGTTTAATGATGGACGGTCAGACAGGATTCCATGCAACCTTCAGGTGAAAATAAAGACCCCAAACCCAGACCCAAACCAGTGGTTATTCCGTATGTTGCGGGTGTTTCGGAGAAACTGAGACGTTTATTTTCTAAACATGATGTCCCAGTGGCTTTCAAACCCCAAAACACATTACGGCAAAGGCTGGTTCACCCCAAAGATCAGGTGCCCCGGCACAAACAGAGCAATGTTGTATATGCTGTTAAGTGCCAGGAGGACTGCGACCAGTTATACATCGGGGAAACAAAGCAACCACTGTTCAAAAGAATGTCCCAACACAGACGAGCTACATCTAATGGCCAGAACTCTGCAGTTTTCACTCATTTACAGGYCAGCGGTCACTCTTTCAGAGATGAGGATGTTCTCATTCTTGATAGAGAGGAACGTTGGTTTGAGAGAGGAGTAAAAGAAGTAATTTTTGTGAAGAAAGACCATCCATCATTAAACAGAGGTGGAGGCCTCCGTTTTCAGTTGTCCCCCTCCTACAGTGCTGCTATTGCCAGTATCACTCCACCCCCTGTTAACAATAGGTGCTAATTAGGTATCAACGATAGCCATGTGATGTGAGTATCAGTCACATGGAGGCAGGGCTTAAAAGCCTGAATTTTGCCTGAAACTCTCAGACTGAAGAAGTCTCTTGGAGGAGAGACGAAATGTTTCATTAGAGAAGAACCCGTCCAGAAGACCTATACAATTTTTTTCTTTTTAAACATGATTGTTATTTGCTGATTAGAATATTTTGTGAAACCTGCATTTATGAAGTTTGTTTCACAGAAGGAGAGGGAATAACTAATTTTCCTGATCCATTATTAGATTTGTTCAGTTGTTTTGCTGATTGATGGGCAGAAACAAATCACACCACTTGCCATCTCTCCATCTCTCTCTCTCCCTCTCTGTTCTCGCTCCGCCTTTAATTCCGCCAACTCCAAGATCAGCGCGCATCACAGGGAGGGAGGAAGACAGAGAGACCTTGTGGAACAATGTGGAGTGGAGAGAGAGGGAGCGCGAGGGAGAGTTAACCGCTGTGAAAGCCGATTACAGCGCGAGCACATCGGCTCTGTGGTTCGTTTCTGTCCACTCCGGGATTCTCTCCTCTCTGCGCGTCGGTTTTATATGTGCAGAAATGAATCCCCGGTTTCTTCCAGTGTTTGGTGCGGCTGGAGCGCCTTCACCATGACTTTCTCTGCAGAGGCGCTTCCGCCAGGGGGGCAACTTTTCCGCGTGCCCCTGCGCCGCTGACGCGCTCCTCGGAGAGGAAAGTTTACGCGGGGAGCGTCATGGGCTCGCGCTGAGAGCTCCGGCTGTCCCACATTCTTCTCCTCTCCCCCCAGAGAGCCAGAAAGGACCGAAAGATGCAGAAGAGTGTCCGCTACAACGAGGGGCACGCGCTGTTTCTGTCGGCCGTCGCGCGTAAAGAGGGCACCAAGCGCGGCTACCTGAGCAAGAAGACGGCGGAGAACAGCCGGTGGCACGAGAAGTTCTTCGCTCTCTACCAGAATATACTCTTCTACTTCGAGAACGAGCAGAGCGCGCGACCTGCTGGGATTTACCTGTTGGAAGGATGCACCTGCGAGCGCGCGCCGGCGCCCAAGTTGTCCACAGCCGGGAAGGAGGCGCTGGAGAAACAGGTGAGATGTTTGATGAAGGTGTGGAATCAGCAAATCCTCCCAAATGTTCAGTCGCCTCCACACAGCAGGGGGTCTGTGGCTTCTGCAGCATGAGTCTGTTTTTATTTTTTACTTTTTATTATTTTACAATAAAAAGAAAAGAGGTTTTCATTATGCAAAAAAAAAAAAAAATACCTGCAGGAGCTCCAGGTTCTTCCTCCAGTTATCATCACACAAGATATGGTGCAAATAGGAGAAGAATCATAGGAACTTTTTTAATTGTTTTCAAAAATAGGCACTCAAAAAAAGATACATACATATATAT